TATGTTCTACGTAATACCTTTATCTTGCTTACAACTCTTCTGAGACGACTTAGGCATGGTGAGACCTACCCTAAATTACCTTCCATAGGGCAGAGGAATGTGACAAAGTAGGAAGATAAAATAAATACAGTAATGAAGACTTCAAGGCTTTGACAAGTTTTCCAGAGTATCTTCACTCTGGTTTTTCAGCTCAGGAAAACCTGCAATTCCATTGCCAGCATGTGACATCCACAAAGGAACCTGAGTGAACAGGTATGTCCTGATGAGACACGGTAACAGTGAGTTTTGTTCACTCTGCAGAGGAAGGCTTGTCTTCATCTACAATCTCTGTATCTATTTTGCTGCCATTTTCATCCAATAAACACAGTTTTTGGAAAAGTACAAATGTATAGACTGCAATTTTAATTTGAGACAAGCTACTCTTCATAAGCTTCCCAAGTATTTCCCAAAATCTGAACAAATCTTTTAAAATGGATTTCATGTGCAGTTTTCACTGTATATAATCACATGCATTTCCCAAGAACATCTGGGAAACATCCCAGATCCCCACCTCAGACCTAAACCATCCACTATATCCATCTACTATATTCATACATCTATGAATAGAAGAAATATTCAGAGTTTTACTGTGATCTTAACTAAAGAAAATGCAACAGGCTTACCCTAAACCAAGTCATCTGGAACAGTTCAAAAGTATAAATCTTGACAAGGAACTTGCAATGCATCTTAAACATATCCACAAACCAAGTGAGGATGAATTACTCATTGTATTTGCACCTGTAAGAATTTGGACTTTTTTTTTTTTTTTTTAAATACTATATGGAATTTCATCCCCTTCTTCTCAGCACATGCTGATTCTGAGAGGACCGTTAAGAGCTCTCTTCAGACAAATGTCAGTCAAGACCTTCATGAGACGTTTAAAGATTTAACGACTGTGGCAAGCAATTCAGAACATGGAATCAAGTACAGTAATTCATTAAACACTCTACAGAGGATGAATCATGTAGGAAGAAATACATTATACAGTATGTATCCCCTATATCACCCTAGGAAAAACAAAAGCAAGTGAATTCCAGGAGTACTAACAAAAACCAACCCCATACCACACCTTTCAGCAAGGTGCTATAGCTCTTGCTCATTTTGATATGTATGCAATTTCTTCCTTGCTGGGAGCTACAAGGAGTCCCTGAAATCTCCTGAAGTTCAAGATAAAAATCTGAGTTTCCAGGGAAATCGCCACACTTCCTGTGCAGCTTGCCATCTGACTGAAGGAGTCTTTGGGAGCAGCGAGGGATCACAATCCTCTTTCTTACTACCTTTTCCTGGAAGAGCTCCCAGGCAGTCTGTCTGAGGCATACCCTGGGAACTTACCTCTCTGTCACCGCAGTATTTTTCAGACAACGTTGCCCACGCAACACTGAGTTAGACACCCTGAAGTACGTTCAAACGTCTACACACAAACGTTAGGAGAAAGAAACAATTAAACCAACTCAAGTTGGGGCTGCGGGCACTGCACTAAGCGAAAGCAACATTGCTGCCCTACTGATCTGGTATTTTCCCAACTCCTATGTATGCCATTGATAAACAATGGCTGCTGAAAGGCTGTCCAGTATTAACTTTAAGTAGGAAGTAACTTCAAGAAATAAATGTTAATTCTTTCACTCGTGGTACAAAAGCAGATGCAAGTAAAGACTATTTGATTGAATGCCAGCTCCAGTTTGAGTAGAATATTGTTAAGCAATATTACTAACCCAATACAGCAACAGCTCATTTTTATAACACTCAGCTTTTATACTTGTCACTTGTGCATCACATGATGTACAGTGAGATATCAGAGGGGGATTTCAGATAGTAGTGCTCCTTTCTGTAAACTATCACTGTTTACATTTGAACATCTAACGTAGGGTTATCTTTACGAATCATTTACAATGCAATAATTACTAAGACTAAGAAGGCATGGAAAGTTTACCTCTTTTACATCTAAACACACAATTCTACACAAGCAGAAGTCTTCTCTCTCTAACTAATAACCAATGTAATGGATTCAGTGAATTAAATATTGGGCTACTGTCCCATTTAAATTTCTAATAGTATATTGACTCTTCTACCTTTCTAATATTCTTGTGGAAATACCGTATTTATGTTGCTTTTTATATTTCCAAATCTGCATTCTCAATTAGAGGTATTCACAGACTGACAAATACAGTACTTAAAAGTGATGGTATCCAGGCAGGTACTTAACAGCAAAAAAGCAGAAATATGCTATTTCCATAGGAACAGCTTGTGGCACTTAGCGTAAAGAGGATTTAGTAGCCTGCAGTACTGGAACGCACAGAAGTTCAAGAAAATGCTTCTAATTGCTCCACCAGAACACATACAATCTCAGCAGGATTAAATGAGAGATTTTGCTGGATCTCCATTACAAAAAAGGAGATTACAGTATTTTGGAATTTTTATTTCAAAATATGCATGTCCACATGGCAATAAAGTATCACTGTCTATTTTAACTAAAAATAGTTAGGGCATTGAATAAACTCACTTGCAAATCGTAAAAATTTCCTATGAATTTAGTAGACTGGAATATAAGTTTTATTCAAGAATGTATATTTATACAGAACTGATCGTATTATTAATTCAAGCGTGTAGATATACTAATACAAAACTCCACAAATTTCAAAGTTTCTGAACCTTTAATTACAACTGCCAATGAGAAAAAATGGTTTTGCTGTAATTATTTACACGGTCCTTGTTTAGTGAATTAACAGCCCTCATCTGCTAAAAATGTTTTCCTAAAACCAAAAGTTTTTAAATAAAAATCAACAGGTCCTACTACACCTATTTAGAAACTAGATGATTACAGTTTACTTAAATCATTCTAACTTAATCATTCTAATTTTGTATGCCACTGAAAGGACTAAAGGTATCAGTGAAGGATATCGTTTTATACTCCACAGAACTGACTTTTTTTTTTCCTTTTTAAACTGATCAAAAAGTTAAGGATAAAACAGATGACTGCTTTTTCTCAGAGCGTTCTTTTGAGACAGAGGCTTACTAGAATTTCAGTAATCTCACAAAAGGAAACACGTAATGAATTTCCAATAAAATTATGTTGGTGTCCCCACATATCACATATCACTTTAATAATTTTGCCAACAATATTGTAATCAATTATTTTTCTGGTATAAGAGTAAAATATGCATAGTAATAACCATAATACAGCATTTACCAGGCTTGCAGGTAGAAATAAAATTATATATTCATTACAACTTCTTTCTCAAAACTGAGGTCAAACAGCTTTTAAATGCTAAAGCCCTAATGAAGAGATGAGTTTTCTGCACAGAAATTCTAACACAGGCCATGGAATTCAATGAATTGAATGTTAAAACAAACAAACCAAAACACTCAATTAGCCAAATGCAGAATACGTCAAAATAAAAGTCCACTACTACATAATATTTTGCTTATTTTCATGGACTATACAAGAAAAGCGTCAAAAAGGCAAAAATCATACTTCTCAGTTCTAGACATTCTGAAACAAATTCAGAGGTTAGGTAGGGAAGGAGTATTCATCTTTTTTAAATCTAGATTGATTTACAGAAAATGATGCTAACATTCAAATAAAATTTACTGTTCTAATAGTTTATATTTTCTTCTATAAATTATTCAACTAAATAGCAAAAAATGCAGGCCGTTAAAGATGTTTCACAAAATGTAATTGATTATGAGAAAATTCCAGTGTAAACTTCAAAAATAACATATGACCACTTTTCTGCAGCTGAAAATAGAGATATATTAGGTCATTTTATTCATGATATGCCGGATTCTTATCCAATATTTGTTTTGAAACACAATATTTCTATTACACAGAAAAACAGTGACAATAAACCATACCCTAATGTTTTGGAAATATAGCTGAACATTGTTCAGCTATCCGCATGATTGGAAGGTCAAAGTGACATCTTCCTAATATCTTTTGATAAGGACTGCCATATGACAAGTGATTCATTTCATAGTATTTTCATTGCAAATTATTGCAGTTATCAACTCAACTGAACCATATCCCCAAAGCTCTTTTAGAAGGATGGCAATGACTTAATAGACACACTTTTTGTCTACTGTCAACAGTAAGTACATTACAAAAGCAGTTGCACTAGTTATAATTAGTCTTGTCCCAATCCCATTAGGGATTCAAACTACCTTCCTTCCTCCATATGCTAAGCCTAAACTCCTGAAGGATAGGACGTTAATTTACTACAACAACAACAACAACAACTGTATTTCACAAATTTCTTCGTGTCCTTCCAAGTGGAATTTTCCATAGGCTGATAGTCTTAAACGTATTCAGGAATCAAAATTACAGTCTCCATAGATTACTATCAAGTCCTAATCAATACTTATGTCATTTCTTCTGGATATGCAGAAGCATATACCACCTGTCCTGTGAATGCCTGCTCTGAAAATTTACAATTACAAGTTGAAAACTAGTTGCTTCTGTCAAGGTTCCTTTTTCATGAACACTCCCTGTAGTAAGTTACATTGCTAAAAATACCTGGAGTGAGACAAGCCAGTCCCTCCTCCATCTCCATTTGAGACTTTATCCTAATGTTTTCATATGGCAGAAGGAATCAAAGCATCTTTTAAAAGTTTTGATTCAGCACGAGTTAAGAGTTTAAAAGCAAGCTTCCAATATCTTTCACAAAGGTAAAAAAGCAAAGTAGCTTTGGTTTTCTCTTTCACGCATCAGAGACATGTGTTAGTTTTGCTGCCAGCACACATGCAAAACTGAGACTTCATTATGACAAAGGTCAAACACTAAGACAACTGAAACTAATCCAGAAACCACTGAAATACAAAAGTATAGGAAAAAGTACTTCAGATTCTGGTCTTTTGTCTTGTTTGAACTGGAAAAATAATTCAGAAAGTACAGAAAAACACATATGATGCCAAATACTTCCAACAAGTCCTAAGCTATCTTTGAAGGCCAAGGACTTGGCACTTACCCCTTAAAGCTGGCAGCAGAGACCTCTCTTTCTTGTCATCACATTTATTGCATTCACTGAAGTACAGAAGTAAAAAGACGTCCACAAGCACCCACATTAGAGAAGTGGCTAGAACCACCTTGCAGTAAACAAATCTCCTCATTGCTTTATTTCGTTTCTCGCTAAAGTGCTGAGGAAAGACAGCAATCGCTGCGATGTACTGAACTCCCACAGTCAAAATCCAACACGGACGCAAGGATAAGCATCCCTCTGCAATCATAAAAAAAGAGAGTCCAAATTAGCTAACAAGTACACACAGTTTGAACTGAAAAATTATATAAAGTGCAGTTTTGAGACATTTTAATTACTTGTTTCTTTCCATATATGTATGTACTTTCAGTTTTTCAACCCACCTTTAGAGGATGTCTCTGCTAAGTTTTTATGAATATCAACCATTTTGATCTGCCTACTTCATGGATAGTTTACATACCTGTCTTCATTAAGAAACGCACATATTTTCATGCAGGGTAACTTTTTTTAATAAAGATGGCATAAAAAGACAACAAAGCAGTCCTAAAACACTGCATGAAGAACCAATATTCATCACTTTATTGAATATTAGACCAATACATTCATAAAAAGAAAATCTGAATTTTTCTTCAAAGAATTTTTGTAGTGCTATTTTAAATACGTTCTCTGAACACTAAAAGCAAATTGATTTCATCTTACAGAAAAATGTCATGCTGAGTTTTTGAATGCCATCTTGCCACCACCAAACATGCCTGCAAAAAAAAACAACGCTGCAGTCATCCATCTACATATTAAAGTTCTTGCCTGCAACAGTACAGCCGGTCAACAAACCCAAGTGTAAGGGTCTACATATACTCTCATAGCCTCAACTTAGATCCATAAGTTACATGGCTGTATTTAAACCCCTACACTTACCATTACAAAGTGCATTCCATGTCAAGATTGGGTGTCCTATTTCCTATCTTGTTTCCAAAGCACAGTCTTAACAATGAACTGCAGGACAATTTTCCGAGTGCCTAAAAAAACAAAACAAAGAGGAAAAAAATCTTTACAACAGGACTGTGTTTTCTAAAACAGAAATAAGTTTCTTTGAATTAAAGAAAGATCTCAGATGTTTTGTCCATATTTTACCCTCCCTACGTTAATCAAACGTAATTTTCTATGCACCACTTTTCTATTCTAGCTCTGAAAAGATCTTCTTAGCTTCTCAAGCCAGCAGTATAAAGACTGGTAAAACCCAATCTTTCCTGGCTTACTAACTGGTTCCCTTTGCACATATTTGGATTCATGTCGTACTACCTCGTATTGCCATATTACTTTCTAGTTAAATGGATTTCTGACAGTTTCAAAGTGATCTTCACAAGGAGCAAAACATCACAAATATGAATTTGGACACTAGCATATATAATACAATGTAGATATGGAAGAATCATGGACAACTGGTCAAGTTTACCTCCCTGTTTAAAGCAACAGCATACTAGATGAAAAAGACTGTTGAGAGAGATTCCATACAAGGTCATTTTCATTTTAAATAGTTCCAAACGTTTTATAATAAATTTCTATTATATTTTAATTACAACTAAGTTGAACTAACAAAGTGGAAGAGATTAAGTCATTTAAATACAGTTTTCCAAATTAGTCTTGAAGTACTATTTCACTACGCAATAGTCAATAAAGTTTTCCATGTGTCTTCGCATATAAATTCAACCAACAGATTTTCTTGCTATCAAAAAAAGTGATTTACAGACAGTTGATTTAAAATCTGAAAGACTCAAGAATGCAGGAATACTCGTCTCAGGTTAGCACAATTCATTTTCACGCTAAGCAACAGGAATAGTTTAATTATACAAAGAAAATTACAAAGAAGTTACAAAGAAAAAAAACAAATTAACATAGATCTTTATTAGAAAAAGAGGAGAAAACAGTTGAAGTGTTAGCTGTCCTCGTACATTCTCTGTCACCATGGTGGCTGTAATGGGCTTTTGTAGTGTTGAGTAGAACGGTTATTTGTTCAGCAACAGCTGAGACACAAAGGCACTTCCTCCCCAAGCACTTGATAACAGAGAATTCTTTTCTTCATCAATTCTTATTTTAATGGAAGTGAATAAACCTCAAAAGTGTAGCAGTCATAGATGGGTGATTGGAAAAATCTTCCATTCCTAGTGCTGTGCATTTTTTAAACATATACTCTGCACAAGAACCACTGCAATCTGTTGCTGTGTTTTAGCTAGCTGTGCAGTTTTCAGTTTCTGAATAAAGTTGATGCAAGACTAATGTAAAGTTAACAGAAAAGGCAAACTACTTTTTTTAAACAATAATTAATATATAGATTAAATATTTCTCCCCTTTCTTTAAAAAAAAAAAAAAAAAGAACACACACAAAAATCTGCTTTCTATTTTTACAGTCCAGCTAATTCAGGATATTATCTTCCTGTGTAGACACAGCATTTTAGTACGGGTGGTAGGCAGCGCAGCCTGCCGCACAGTGCCAGGGACCTCAAGTTCTAACCGTTAATACGATCCTACGTTGCTTTGCCAGAAAAGTGAGGATTACTAGTAGCAGAGAACCAAGCCTTCTGTTCTACACATCTTATAAATACCACTTTTAAGGAAGAGGATTGCAGCTGAGGATTAAATTTTTTATTGAAACAAAAGTTCTGAATTCATAATATAAGAACCATCTATTTTGGGGGTGGAAGGGAGTTTAAGAGACACAGAGAGGGTTACTTGCACTGTTTAATCTCTCAGGTATCTAACTCAGATGATCTGACTTGCTTCCTGAAGGTATCTGCCCCTTGTTTTTCTGGGATGAAGAATTAAAATCAAATAGTTGAAGCAGGTCTATGTATTTTCTGCATGCTCTTCTTACAGAAGTCACCGTTCTCACTGCAGGCATGACTGAACAGCTCACAAAAAGAGTTTCTGATCCACAGGTCCTTTCAGTTAGGAATAAATTAAGCCAGGCTGAAACCAGAATCAGATCTATCTGTAACAGTGTAGGCACTACTGAGTTTAAACTGCTCCCACACACGCCTGGAGAGCTCCTGGGCTCTCTAATCTCACCACTCACAACTCCCAAATTAGCTTATATTTCAATTAAGGAATTAGGTTCATATGAACAAAGGAATAAGCAAAAATCCATGCAGACTGAATTCCAAATGCATACACATAAATCAAGATAGGCTAATGGATCTTTTTAAATAGAGTGCCTGACTTGAATTTCAAAAAAAAAAAAATATATATATATATACACACACACACTATATATATATTTTAATAAAATTGAAGTTTACAACCGGGAGTTCCCCTTTTTCCTTTATTCCTATCTCCATTTCAAGATGGAAGTTCCTCCCTTCTCTCTCATCCTTCCTTTTACCTGAAGTTCCTATTTGCACAAAAAATTGACAATCATTTTGACTAATCAAGATAGTATTTTTCAGCAAGTATTGGAACAGAAGTGTTTGCCCAGCCCTAGCTTTGCACGTAGGAGCACAAAGTTCTCTCTCTTTCGCTTTATCTGCGATTTGACATTATTTAAAATCAAACAAAAACCCAGAAACAAACCACCACACTACCCATCCACACACCATCAAGTTCCTGAATATCTCACACTGACCTCAGGACACTTTTCAGAAAACTCCACGCTTCTGTCAATATACTTGTGGATTCCAAATGCCTTTTGTTCCCCCAAAATGCTTTATATCACAGTTCTTTAAGAGACAGTTTAACTAAAGTGTCTTTAAAATATATCTGATGCAAGGCTTTAAGCCAAGAATTAGACACGACAGCTCCTAGCTCAAAAGACACAAAAGGGGAACACCACAACCAAACACAGTGTGCCTTTGGCTTTATTCCAAGACTTGTTAACGTATGAATTTAACTGAAGAACCGCGATCTTAAACTCCCTACCATTCTTCCAAGTACAGACACAACTGATCTGCTTACTCAGCACTTGGGACAGAAGCCACTCAGGTCAGAAACAGCATTTTGAATGTGAACTGTTGTTTTCCTTGTTTGATATGAAATGTACATAAAAAGAACATTGAAAGTTCAAGCACTCAAAAGAAAAAAAAAAAGACAGAATTGGGGAATGTAAAGTAGTTGCCAGAACACATGTGCATTATTATGACCTTAAGTCGCATTCTTTTTTCCGTAAGATTTCTGCATTCAGCCACCCTCACCACTTTCAGACCCTGCACCAACACACAACAGTTTCCATTCTTCCCGTTGGGGCTCCTCAGTCCACCTGCTCCTTCTTTCTCATTTTCTTCCTAATTCCATCTGGCAGTCCTCTTTATTCCCAGTTCTCCCACCTGCATGAGTGCCACAATTTTAAGAATGGCAATGCTTCCCAGTCAAGTGTTTCCTCTTTTCTCCTCCCATTTCCCAATGCCTATTCTCAGTTTTTAATGTTTCCTTATTCAGCTACTCAGCTCCCTCTCCTCCATCCATTCCCTCTCACCAGCCCCTAATTCCAGCCTCTCCCCAAAAGTTGATTCTCCTCTCTTTTTGGCTCCAATTACCTGTTCTCTCCAAGATCCAGGCTCTTCTGCTCAGCTTAGCCTTTTCCCTCTTATTCTGGCTCTCATCCTATCTACGCTTACATAAATTGGGTCCTTCCACAACTTGGCTTAAACAGCCTTAGAAGCAAAACCCCAGCAGAAAAAGAGACAGCGAGGTCTGTGCCGCATCTCAAAACAGCCCGGGGCAACACCAGCACAGGAGATCTCGCTCTTGCCTAGGAAATCCAGTGTGGGCTTCTCATGCGTTAGGTGCAAACAGCCAGCGTAGGGTCTGGTCACCAACAGACACGAGGGCTGGAACCTGCTGAGCAGGACACCAGCACCAGCCACTTCTGCTCTTCCGGCAGCCTAATGCCCTTCTCCAGGCACCAGAAGCAATGACACTTCTCAAAGAACAGTTTCGTTTTGGTTTTTTAAATGAACATACAGGGAAACAAAGTTTTTAGGGGGAAGGGTAAGTGAAACATGCTAGGTTTTTTTGAGCTACCCTTTCTAAGAACAAAGTTAGTTTACAAACAATATCTAGCAGCAACAAAGCCATGGAAATTTCTGCCCCCCAAAAACTGCAGTTTGATAGTGTTATGAACAACTGAAAACAGCGGTTTGTAACAGAAAAGAGTACATCAATTTACAAATCATCAGAGTTGCCAGCCTTTCCTAAAACCACCACAACAAAATGCTGTGGCAAAGACAAAAAGAAAAAGTGTTATGTAGGTTGTATGTAACCTGAATTGCCTTTCTCATGTACTTAAAAACCACACACCACCCACCCACAAGGCAAATTAGATGTGGTAAAATGACACAACTATTCAACTCATGACTCCCCACATGGCCCCATGCCCTATTTCATGCCAGCCAAACCATGAAGAGAATGAAAAATATTTAATTTCCTTATGGGCTCAAAGCTATGGCATTCATCGCTACACTATCCAGTTGCCTCAAAAGCTTGTAATTTAGTTTCATAATATCTCTGTGAAATACAATTAATCCCTTTTTAGGAACAATGGAAACAGAGACTGAGGCCAAGACTTTGAGAGAATCCACCCATTCTGCTCTCCCAGCAGCATTTCTAGAGTCACCCGCTTCACATTTTGACACGTAGAGTAAGTTAGTGCATTGGTTAAACAAAAGCAACAGTTCTTGTGCCAGTATTTTCCTATCCATGGCAAGAAGGGCCCACTCCTTAGGTCCCACTTCCCTGGCTCCTGGAGGCCTCCTTCCTCTCCAGCACATCTAACAGGAATCACATTCACCCCACAGCATCAGCTACGCTCCCTTCCTGGGCATGGTCTTCAACAAGGGCACCTGAGGTATGTAGCTTTCACCTTTATTTTTCTCAGAGAAAGAGTGGTCTGCTAAATGATGAGCAGAATTTCCACGTCCTGTGACTTATCAGAGTGAACGTATTAAAACCTCAGATAGGCTGCACAATACAATTTTGTCTGAGGTGTTAACTATAAGCTACTAGAGAAATTAATAGCCAAAGTAACACC